TATCTGTGCAAGACTGCTACGGTAATCGGACTTTCCGTTTACCGGGCACAGGTTCGCCCAAATAAACAGTTAAATCCCAACACAAAGTATCCTGTCTTCGGCCAAGTCATGACCTCGTGACAATATATTGAGCGGTACAGTGGGGACAGAAATACAATACCCAATACATCATAATATAAATATTTTCTTGAGCGACAGAACAAATATTCATAGGAGAATCTGGCTGTCAGAAAACGCACTGATTCGTATACTTCACGCATGAATCCTTGCAAATAGGGAGGCGATGCGAAATCAGTAGATATACGACTAAATTAGGCAACACATCCGAGAAATCCACTTGGAAGAATGTTAGAAGCACTGGATGAGCACAGTCCCAAAAATATCAAAAACGCCACACGAGTTGTGAAAGATGTGTACCAACTCAAAATCACCTGCGCAAATAGGTCTAAAATCACTGTCTCGCCTCATTTGTCCGTAGGTTGATGACGAAATGAAGGCAGCAAATATTTGGCGAAACTTCTGTATGTAAACCCTCAAATAAAATTTTTTGCGGTTCGTAGAATATTCTAGTTGCCAGAAACAAGTTGCATGCTTTAGCTCTGCTGAAAATAGAGAAGTTGTATGGAATAAACGTCCAGTCATAGGATTTTAGGGTGGGTGACCACTCTTTACTATAATGTGCACTTGATCCATATGCATCTAATGGTACCATATGTTTTTTGGTGGCACACAAGACTTTTGAACACCCTCGAAATAGGTTAGTTTAGAAGTCCATGGGCCAAACCACAGTCCCAAGCTTTTAGCAAAGTTTATTCGCGCCCCAGAAATTTTCTCGAATTCCCTGATTGTTGGCACCACCATTTTTAGACTAGACAGATCGGCACAAAAGAACGCTAAGTCATCCACATACGCCAATACATTTACCTCATTCCCACAAGCACTGAAACCACAGAAACAATGTACTTTTTGCTCTTTCCTTACATTTGAATGATTTTGGGGGGTTTAACGTCCCAAAACCACCATATGATTATGAGAGACGCCGTAGTGGAGGGCTCCGGAAATTTTGATCACCTGAAGTTCTTTAACGTGCACCCAAATCTGAGTACACGGGCCTACAACATTTCCGCCTCCATCGGAAATGCAGCCGCCACAGCCGGGATTCGAACCCGCCACCTGCGGGTCAGCAGCCGAGTACCTTAGCCACTAGACCACCGTGGCGGGGCTGCTCTTTCCTTACAACACGTCTACTTGTGAATACCGTGAAGATACCTTCCTCTCCAATTGAAAACGCAACGAAAGAAGTCACTTTCACGCTTTACAAACAAACGCGTCCTGTATAGACGCTTCCCAATACAACATAAAACACGGCAGTTATAATGCGTGGTACAAGTGTACATTACCATCATGCCTCGGAACTTGCGATTATCTTCATGACTTTATGGTATAAAGCCGTTCACCAACACGTAACTATGCCTATTAAGGGCACGTAGTCGGGGTATAGCAAGCACGAAAAAAGTTCATGCAGCAAGTGTGATTTCACACACTAAGTACTACCGACAGGATATCGCTATCACGTTAAACTCTTCAAGCGGAGTTTAATGGTCCCCTAATTTCTTTATGATAGCGGACAAACAAATTTCTTCTATTGCTGCCCTTGTGAGTTTGTTACAGCTTTTTTGTATTTCCTTTTTTTATCTTCTAGAAGAGTCGGTGGCTATAATTGGCATGCTTATTTCTATAGTGGCGCCATACTGTAATCTGAGTATGTAAAAAATAACTTAATGAGGTTATCGTAATGCTTTGCAAGAGCTTTCTTTAGTGTTACCTGATAAGACTGAGCGTTTTTATCGTTTTCTTTTTAATACGCCTTCGGTGACGGAAACGGAAACGTCCTTTGGTAAAACACGCTTTGATGAAGCTTTGTCTTTCTGACGAAGTCACTGTTGTCGAGAGTCACCGCCGAGGGGCGATGCTCACGAAGAAAAAAATTGGCATTTGATTTGAAAATTTCAACCGCCGTACAAGCAGCAAGGTCAATCTAAATAGGTCAATAAAGTCGGAACGAAACGTGGTCTGAACCTATTGCGACCGACATCAACAGCCACGTGACGATCGAAGCGCGACTGGGTGAGGGGGGAGGGGACAGTTAGTGAGAACAAAAAAATAATAAATTCCTATTTTGAATAGTTTTTTCTATTTTAATAATTACATAAAACAGCAGATTGCTTCATTAAAGCTTTAGTTTTTAGTATGCATATGATTGAGGCGGCAGTCTGGTAACATGGGCCGACGGATTTGAGGGCGTATACGGGCAATATGCTATCAGAGCTTGTGCAAAGCTTGTGATTAGTTCGGCGTGTTCTTTGGTTCGGCACATTGCCACGTCAACGAGGCATCGTTCACTTTTTCTTCGTGCTTTCGTGCGTACTTTCGGAAGTTTACTCATTATTATGTGCGTTTCACAGTTCAACTAGCTGAAAGAATGTGCAAATAGACACTCCTGTGAATGCCGACGTGCCCTCGCTTTTGGTTATACTGTGGACGTGACAGGCTAAGCAACAAGACGCCGTACTCTACGGCTGCCAAAATTATATTTTCAAAACTGCTGTCTCACGGCAGTAGTTTCCAACGATTGGAAAACGTGAGTTTTCGAACTATTATGCTATATTGTGCTGGTGAAGAGTTGTCTCACAATTGCCCCAGTGAAGTTTCTGGTGCGTATTCAAAGTACGTCTTTTGGCTAATAAAACAACTATGTTTCCTCAATGTTTGCTATTTTTGTTTCTTTTCCCTCTCGCATACAATTGGCGAGACACAATTAAGGCGCAATGAAATCACGGAATAATAAAGGAACCGTAGCAGGTCAGCAATTAGGAAAATCTTCAAGTTCGCGCCATGCAGGGCAAATGCGCGACGTCGTAACCACTTCCGGTTCTGACGTCATATTTTTTAATTTTTTTTGTTAGTTGTTCCTTTCTCACGTAGATGGCGACGATGGCATTGAGCCGCCAACTACAGTGGATCCATGGGCTTCTATGGAAGCTACGCTACCAGTTTACATATACCTTGCAAGCAGTCTGTTCGGCATCCTAGATGTTCGCAATGATTTCCTATTCTATGTGAGCTCAGCATACTTTTCTTGATCCACGCTATTTCAATTTCAGTGTGGTTAGGTTAATTTCTTTTTCCCGGACCTTTCTTTGCGGATACCACATGTGTAAAAGACGACGCGCTGCAACCGCTGTTCCACTCCGCAGTTTATCGACGGCTGATGCACTGCTCACCGGTATCGGTGTACAGCGTGTAATTCTTGTTCTCAAACTTTCCGTCATCCGGACCGGCAAAATAAAGTTTCGTCTTTGCCGTCAAGATCACCAGACACGCTCGTATGTGATTTCATTTATACATTTAATTATAGTGTATACGTTTTGCGTCACGTGCAGAGTAGCACGCAGAAAGAAAATAGAATGAAATGTTCAACCAAATATGATGCTCTGTTAATAGATAGTCACGAGCATGCATGCTGTGTGTGCGCAAGTTTCATCTAGGAATTCATTATTTTGTCAGGTAGAACGGAGGTGGGTATGCCGGTATCGCTTCGCATACACAGGTGCGACACTTACTCGTTCGTTGGCAATTGATTAGCCTTTGCCTGGTAGTGCGTGAACGATTCAGTCTATAGACGCCAACGAACGGACAGAATGTGCGCAAACACCAGGGAGCTGAAAATAACCAAAGAAGCTTCGAGACAAGAAGAAAAAGAAGTGAGCGAATCGCACTGAGCAGTGAAGGGCGATCTTGAGAACTATCTGCAAGCCCTCGACAGGTTTCTGAGAGTATTAGGGGCCACGCGCAAAAAAAAAAAAAAATGATTGGCAGTGGAGCTGCTCAGTACAGACGTTGACTCGGTGTTGTAGAGTCAGTGCAAAAGCCATTGGAACGCAATATATACATATATATATATATATATATATACATATATATATATATACATATATACATATACATATATATATATATACATATATACATATATATATATATACATATATACATATATATATATATACATATATACATATATATATACACATATATACATATATATATACACATATACATATATATATACACATATACATATATATACACATATACATATATATACACATATACATATACGTATATACATATACGTATATACATATACATATATATATACATATACATATATATATATATATATATATATATATATATATATATATATATATATATATATAATGTGGGCATTTAAAGCATGCTTCTTTCCTTCTTCCTCACCTGTACAAAACCATCATCACCTAGTGTTCATCTTCATATCTTCATCGTTAGTCGGGATGACCTTGAAGTCGGTTCTCTGCCTCGGAGGTAACGGTTTTGGCCACGTCGTCTAGGCCTAATAAAGGCGTGTAAAGGACTATGTCGCAATATATATAAACCCAGGGTTTCATATACACGACGCGATTGCAGCCAGGCTTTCTTCCTTCAGTAAAATCTGGTTTATTCCTTAGTGAGAATGGTGCAAGTAAAACCAGTTTCTTTTTATTGTTTCCGCGTTATTTCTTTTTGAAAAAAGCCGCATGTCAGAGGAATTCCTTGTAAAGACAGTTATTGCGTAGAACAGTCACTGGAAGTAGCAATGACATATTATACGCTTGAACAAAGCACATGTGTAAAAACAAACGTTTTCTAATTGAATAAATTAGAATAAAACTACGATAGGGTGACGTTAAAACTATGTTGACTTCTGAACACAAAACAGCGTTATTCTTATTATCCTTCCAGGGCCTACGTGTCGGACGGGGACAATACGCTGGGCGAGTGATTGGCTCATTACATACATAGCCTATTATGCAAGGTCAATGACAACTATAAATCGCATAATATTCGTGAACGTCGACATTCCAGAGGACAATGCAAGAGTGCGCTCGCAAGGCCCGACCAGCGCTGCTTGCAACTAACGTCCTTGCACCCTGGTGATTAGTTCCAGCAGAGCCTTGTTGCAGATGTCCGGGTAGCGTGCGAATCCGTAGTGCGATCCATCCTCCAACTCGATTGCCTTCAAGCCGTCACCGCTACCTGTGAATGGAGAGGGCACCATTGATGTCTTTAACGAACACTTGCATGGCATATTCTTTAACACTTGTTACTTTTCGGCGAGGCTAAGTGGAGGATGGTTCTGTCGACAGCACTCACATAATATAACAAGATGTCATTTAGTATAAACGTGACATTAGCAACTGATTGTGATAACCACGTCATATAAATCTGCAAATGTAATCTTGGCTCTAATGGAAGTATTCAGTAACTGCCGATGCTGGGAACGAACGTACGCGACTTAGAGAGTTTCAATATTTCCCGTTTCACTCAGTGAGTGGGATACAAAAAGAGCAAAGACCAGAACGAACAAACTAGACGACTTCACAAGAAGGGCTAAATGCACCGGACAAAACTGGTATGCGTCAAGTTCACTGGTTTATTGATTAGTCCTGGGGTGCTATGCAGAATAGTCCGCGCTTCTCGGTCAGGGTAGCTTGCTGCGAGCTCGCTCCATACGGTGGCCATGGCATGAAGACAGTGCGGAGCGCATGATAGCAGCGTTGATAAAAATGGCTAAAGAAACGAGCCTGGCGTTGGAAAGTGCATGTGGGACATTTGCTGCGGTTATCAAAGAAACACCGCGTGTGAACACGCCAGCGCCGTCACTCAACATTTTAACACTGCAGCAGCGTCAGCGTGATTGTCGTGCTATCTTTTTTGCCAGTTCAACACACGCCTCATTCAGGCGTGTTCGTGGGCGTTTGTTCTCTTTTGGGCACGTTTTTTTCGTTCCACATGCAGCATAGAAATTTCCACTCTCGAAGGCAGCAAGGGTGCACACGCAGCACTCTGGTGCTGCTCGTTTCGCTTCTATCAAATATTGCCGATAATTATAACTACAGGTGGTGGTCCCCACAGTAGCTAGCATCATGGCAGCAAGGCAGCTGTGAGTGGATAGATACTTCGTGAACGCGGTGAAATCAAATGCCAGACACCGTAGCCACGTCATGATATTAACGTTTACTTCTGTGTGCTTGTGTGAATAGTCTGTGCGATAATGCTGATAGATTAATCGCGCCACTCGACGTGAGCACTGCTCCTCGGCAACAGCAAACGTGGTGGGGATTGCCGACCCTCGCCGCGGGTGTCTGCCAATCAAACTGATTGACACGTGAACTCGGACACAAACTTGTTGATTCCGAGAAGGCTCCAGTTCAGCTTGTGACAGAAATGTTTGTTGCGTTGGACGCTAAGCAGCAGCTTCTTGCATATAAAATAATTTGGTCAGCTTGCTCTAATTGTGCAAGGCAGGAGCCGTAGAGGAGCTTGTGACTACCTAGCGTCTTCCAGCTTTTTAGTCGGTCGTCTCCTGCTTTGCTTGGTAGGCTTCGAAGTGGAGACCACAACACCTGTCTTAATTTTCATGATATAATTAGCTAACACTTAATGACTACTACACTGAACAGTTTTGTCTCTATTAATAACATTTTGATTAAAATGCAATAATTATCTCGACAACAATTAGTAAGCCCATGATTACTGTGGTGTTATCTAACATAATCCTTATTAACATTATCCCTGTAGTGGAGCATACGCACCAACGCGTATGCGCCTTCGGAAGACAACAAAAAGCCCGTGCTCTGCTTGCGCGAGAGTTTGTGCCGCCTCTGCCAGACTTGCCGTACGCCCACTTTCCGTTGCGACCTCGCTGCGACTTCTCGGCTCGAATAAACGTCATCACATTTGGTGGAGGGTGCTGAGATCCCCAAGAAGACCTGGAGCTCCGCTCTCGCAAGTTGCCTGAAAGACTACCGCGAAACATGACTGACGCAGTCGCCAACCAGCCCGTCCCAGCCCAGCCAGCACCATCGGCTGCCCCGTCGACCTGCCCCGGTGCTACCCGTCAGCGGGACCCACCAATCTTCAGCGGCAGTGGTGAGCAAGACGTCGAAGACTGGCTCTCCTTGTACGAACGCGTGAGTGCCAGCAACAAATGGGACAACGACTCCAAGCTTGCCTATGTCATCTTTTACTTGGCTGACGTCGCCAAGCTATGGTTCACCAACCGCGAAACCGCCATCGCCAGCTGGTCCACCTTCAAGACCCTCGTGACCGAAGCGTTCGGCCGACCAGAGGTCCGCAAGCTCCGCGCTGACCAGCGTCTGCGCCACCGAGCCCAGCAACCTGGTGAGACCTTTACTAGCTATATTGAGGATGTGCTCGACCTCTGCAGGCGTGTTAACTCATCCATGCCTGAAGAAGAGAAAATTCGACATATTCTCAAAGGCATCGAGGATGGCGCATTCCAGATGTTGCTGGCGAAGAGCCCGACCACGGTGGCGGTCCTCGTAAGCCTGTGCCAGAGCTTCGATGAATTGCGTCGTCAGCGTTCCATCGCCCGACAGAGTGTTCCATCACCAGATTCCATCTCGGCCGTCGCACTCGCCAATGGCAACGTTCACCAAGGAACTCTGTCGAACCAGATTAAAGACTTCATCAGGGAGGAAGTCGCCCGACAGCTTTCCCTGCTGCCGCATAGTGACGCGCCCACGACAAGCCTCCCTTCGAATATGCAGCAGGCCATACGCACTGAAATTTGCAATGCACTCCCTACAGTTCCGGCCTCTTACCCGTGCACTTCGGTGCCATCTGATCTCTCAACTGCTGGCTACGCACCAACTGCGCCGCCTTCACCTCTCAGCTACGCAGCTGTGGTCGCGCGGCCCCCACCGCATCCAGTCGCCTTATCGGCTCCAACTCCTCCGGCAGCGCCACCGGTTTACAGGCCCTCACCTCGCTTTTTCCGTCAATCTAATGAGTGGCGCACCCATGACAACCGTCCTATCTGCTTCGCGTGTGGCATCGCTGGCCACATTGCACGCTACTGCCGCCGCCGTCCCACACCTGCGTACGCCTCCTTTGGAACTCCTACCTATGCGTCGCAGCAGGCCACCTCGTCTGCATACGAACAGAGGCACTCTGACTCGGATCGTCGCCCATCAACTTCTCGTTTCCCATCTCCTCGTCGCCGATCACCATCTCCTATGCGTCGTAGACCACCTCCTGAGGAGGGAAACTAATAAGTGCAGTTCCAGAGGCAAGAACTGCAACTTCTGCGCAATTATCAAGGCCTCCATTTTCGCCGCGAAATGTTGTTGATGTCAATGTTGAGGGAGTCGCCACACAAGCGTTAATTGATACTGGGGCCGCCGTTTCTGTGATGAACGCAAAATTTTGTCGCAAATTGAAGAAAGTGACCACATCTCTCTGTGGCATCGTGCTGTCCACGGCTAGCGCGCAACGCATTCAGCCCTCGTCTGTGTGTACGGCGCGCGTCGTCATCCAAGACGTTTTGTACATCGTCCAATTTTTCGTACTACCATCTTGCTCTCATGACCTCATCCTGGGTTGGGATTTCTTATCAGGTCATGAAGCTATCATCGATTGTTGCCGTGCGGAAGTGTCCCTAGTGCCAAATTGTGAGTTTCCATCGCCCGACCATTCACCACTGCTCTGCAAACTCATCGCCGACGACGACATCACCTTGCCTCCGGAAGCTTCAGTCCCTATTAGCCTTTCATGTGTGGCGCAACCTGACGCCACGGTGGTATTTACGCCATCCCCTGTTTTTACTGAACGCAAGGGCATCGTGCTCCCATTTGCCGTTCTTACGATTGCGTCTGGTTTAACCGTAATGCTGGTTACCAACCACTGCAACTACCCCATTGGCTTGCTTCGTGGTGAAACGTTAGGATATGTGCAACCTGTCGACCATATCAATGATATTATTCTTCCCGACGAAACGCCATGTCAGATTGCCGCAATCACTCAGGCGTCTGAGCCATCAAGCTCACCAGCCTTCGACGATGCTATTGACGCAGACCTTCCCCCCTCGCATCGCAGCCAACTTGTTGCTCTCCTTAACAAGTTTCGCTCTTCTTTCGACTTTCAGAAACCTGCTTTGGGCCGCACCACGACTGTCACTCATACTATTGACACCGGCTCACATTCGCCTCTGCGACAGCGTCCTTACCGCGTTTCTGCCGAAGAGCGCCGCGTCATTACGGAGCAAGTAGATGACATGCTTAAACGTGGAGTCATACAGCCTTCTCAAAGCGCTTGGTCATCACCCGTGGTTCTGGTAAAGAAAAAAGATGGCACCGTTCGATTTTGCGTGGACTATCGCCGCTTAAACAAGATTACAAAGAAAGACGTCTACCCGCTACCACGAATAGACGATGCTCTTGACTGTTTACAAGGCGCCGAGTACTTCACATCCTTGGATCTGCGTTCTGGGTATTGGCAGGTGCCAATGGCTGAATGTGATCGCCCTAAAACAGCCTTTGTAACGCCAGATGGCCTGTATGAGTTCAAAGTCATGCCATTTGGGCTCTGCAACGCGCCTGCGACGTTTGAACGCATGATAGATACCATATTGCGGGCCCACAAGTGGAAAACTTGCTTGTGTTACCTAGATGACATCGTAGTCTTTTCAGCTGATTTCCCGACACATCTTCGTCGTCTCCACGAGGTTCTGGCGTGTCTAGCTTCTGCAGGCCTACAACTTAACACCAAGAAGTGCCACTTCGCAGCCCGCAAACTAACCATCTTGGGACATGTCATCACAAGAGACGGTGTTCTTCCGGACCCCGATAAGCTTCGAGCTGTCGCTGACTTCCCCATGCCCACATCACTGAAAGCCCTAAGAAGTTTCGTTGGTCTTTGCTCTTACTTTCGTCGCTTCGTGCGCAACTTCGCGTCCATCATTGCACCTCTGACTAGTCTGCTTTCCAACAGCAAAGGTATATCTGCATGGTCACCTGCATGTGACGACGCATTTCACCAGCTGCGCCGCCTGCTGACCTCGCCACCTATTCTTCGCCACTACGACCCCACTGCTGCCACAGAAGTTCACACTGATGCAAGCGGCATTGGTCTTGGCGCAGTTTTGGCACAACGGAAAGGTACCCAAACCGAATACGTAGTCGCTTATGCAAGTCGCGCTCTTAAGAAGGCTGAATTGAATTACTCCGTGACAGAGAAGGAGTGTTTGGCCATAATCTGGGCGCTTACGAAGTTTCGCCCGTACCTTTACGGCCGTCCTTTCGATGTGGTCACAGACCACCACGCTCTATGTTGGCTGTCCACCTTGAAAGACCCGTCCGGACGTCTGGGCCGTTGGGCACTTCGATTGCAGGAATACGACATCCGTGTCGTATATCGTTCCGGTCGCAAGCATGCGGACGCCGATGCACTTTCCCGATCGCCATTAACACCAGATGTGGCTTCTCTGTCACCCCCTTTTACCACCTTGTCACCACTCGACAGCACTGACATGCTTTCGGAGCAGCGTAAAGACCCATACCTTGCCTTGTTAGTCGACTACCTTACCGATCCATCTTCTGTCCCTTCCACGAGAGCGGTACGCCGGCAAGCAGCCCACTTTTCCTTACGTGACAACATTCTGTACCGCCGCAACTACACGCCTGGTGGTCGGAAGTGGCTCCTTGCTGTCCCAACTCATATGCGCTCTGACATCTGCATGAATTTCCATGCAGATCCCCAAAGTGCTCACGCAGGTGTCCTGAAAACCTACGAACGGCTGCGCCAACGCTATTACTGGCGAGGAATGTATCGTTTTGTGCAGAAATACATTCAGTCTTGCACCACTTGCCAACAGAACAAAACACCTCCGCGGCACCTTACCGGCATGTTACAGCCGCTGCCGTGCCCGGCTCGCCCATTCGACCGCGTGGGTATAGACCTCTATGGCCCACTCCCATATAGTAGCTCTGGAAACCGGTGGATTATTGTCGGAGTCGATCATCTGACACGCTACGCTGAGACTGCAGCTCTACCGGCAGCGACCGCCCACGAAGTTGCACTCTTCATTCTCCGCAGCTTCATTCTACGCCATGGTGCTCCGCGGGAATTACTCAGTGATAGGGGTCGAGTGTTCCTGTCGGAGGTCATCCAAGCTATCCTCGCTGAATGCAACATTATCCACCGGAAATCTACCGCATACCATCCACAGACAAATGGTCTTACTGAGCGGTTCAACCGCACACTTGGCGACATGCTGAGGATGTACACCTCCTCCGACCACACTAACTGGGACGCTGTATTGCCCTTTGTTACCTTCGCTTATAACACCGCGACGCAAGCGACTACCGGTTTTTCTCCGTTCTTTCTATTGTACGGCCGCGAACCTTCCCACCCCCTCGACACTATACTACCGTACCGCCCTGATGCATCTGAGTGCTCCCCGCTTTCGGAAGTCGCCAGATACGCGGAAGACTGCCGTCAGTTGGCTCGGTCTCTGACAAGTGAGGCTCAAGGTCTACAAAAGACTCGACACGACGACGCTCACCGCATAGCTCCTACATTTCGTGCTGGCTCCCTTGTGTGGCTTTGGGTGCCCCCGCATGTTCCTGGCCTATCTTCCAAACTTCTGGCCCGGTACCATGGTCCGTACCGTATCATTGACGCGACCTCCCCGGTGAATTACATCATCGAGCCGTTAACACAATCACCAGATTTGCGCCGTCGAGGACGCGAGACCGTACACGTCGACCGTCTCAAGCCCTACTACGACCCCATCATTGTGCCTACTCCCTGAGTCGCCAGGATGGCTACCCTTCATCCCGGGGGTATTGTAGTGGAGCATACGCACCAACGCGTATGCGCCTTCGGAAGACAACAAAAAGCCCGTGCTCTGCTTGCGCGAGAGTTTGTGCCGCCTCTGCCAGACTTGCCGTACGCCCACTTTCCGTTGCGACCTCGCTGCGACTTCTCGGCTCGAATAAACGTCATCACATCCCAATTATCATATTAGTAAGGTCTAATTAGCATGGTATTACATAGCGTGCCCATGATTACCGTCCCCCTAACTAGCGTGTTCTAGTCAACAAGCAATATATAGTTAGCCGAGCCCTAGCTTTACATGTCTTCATTAGCATGATCTTATTAAGACGTGGCGTAATTACCTTGGCCTTACCACGGCTTTGCGTAATTAGCTTGGTCAAAGTATGTCCTGGCCTAACTAGTCATGTACACTGCCCAGCCAAATAGCTAATTAGCACGTCGCACGTGCTCGGGTGCTAGCAGACAATGAAGACAGTGGGTGGCACGCATCGACTAGCGCGTTATAATGTACAAGGTGACCTAATAATTAACACGTGGCGTCGGGTTAAGCTGCGGTCACGATGTTGTAGAACGATTGATCGGGACTAATCTCACAGGCCGTCATGCTGATTATTGTAAAACAGATTTAATTCAGGCAGTAAAAGCTTCAAAATAAATTTCAACAGCGCGTGTCCTTGAAAAAGATCTCACGAAAAGTTTCTGATGATTTGTATGTGGGGTTTAACGTCCCAAAACCACCATATGATTATGACAGGCGCCGTAGTGTAGGACACCGGAAATTTAGACCACCTGGGGTTTTTTAACGTGCTCCCAAATCTGAGCACACGGGCCTACTCACGAAAAGTTTCTGACTCATTTATTGTATGAGTGCACTTCTACATTCAGTCGAAAGAAAGGGGGGAAAAAGATACCGCTTGTTTGAAAACACTGTCCAACTTCGTCGACTGTCCTTGATGTGAAGCAGAGTTCCACCCTGAGCAATGATACGCAAGCGCTGAGGGGTGGATTTCACTTTTTCGTACTGTTGGCTCCTTCACAAGGCGGTGTCGCCAGAGCGCGGAAAGATCCCGATTTCGCCAAGCTCGGAGCATCCTACATAGTGCCCCTGCTACAAGTTACAAAAGAACGCTCCAGGTAGCATAGAGTTGCAATAGTCTGTCCAAAACGCGACCACCCGAAAGAGATTTAGAAACTGGTGTACGCATATATGATATACCAAAAGAGCCATTTAGGCTAGTTGGTCACGGATGGACCTGAGAAGTGTTGTCCCTCTCTTCAGTCCCTGCAACGTACTGCGTTCCACTTCTTGCATTCACAATGCGCATGTTCTCGGGGTAAATTTCCTTCGTGTCTCGGAATAAGCTTCAGGTGAATTCAGGGAACTAGTAATATCACTTCCTGCGCATAATGGCGCTTCATTGTCTGCGCTGCTTTAGGTGTTACGACCGAAGGTATTCTTACCACTGCGAAGGAGGCATCCACCCTTGCCATACAAAGAGATTTTCTCGGGATCGCAGCCCAACCTCCGAAGCAGCGTCCGATTGTCCTCCTTTGAGAGCAGTCTGTCGTTGTCGCTGACCACCACGAGAGTGGGTATCTTCCGGTCTCGGATTCTCGTTAACTGCTGCTCAACCTGCGACGATACCGCGACGGTGGCGTAGCGTCACTGGCGTCTATAGGATATCACGCTGTTGCGCCTGTAACAAGTGCACGGGACACCTGGCAATGCAGGACTCCAGAACAATGTTTGATCCCACGCTCATAATACTGAGTAGCCCCCACTTAGATCGTGCACGCCCTCTATGTCCTATCCAAGTGCGGCAGCCTATATAGTATAAGTACCCACATGCATGTTGCGTAGAGCGCTTTGTCTTACGACATGCAGATCCGAAGGCTGGAGAACTATTAAAGCTGTCGTGCTCAAGAAAATGTCATAACAGCGGTACTCATGGCCTGACCATTTAAGAAAGCTTCACATTACCAATGGCTTGCGTTCCGTAGATTACGGCAAAAATTAAGGCAAGACATTCAGCCAGTTTACCAAGCAATTAGGCAACAGCTCCTGCGTGTGGGCTTGCGGCGAGTGAACGCAACACCTGCTCGCGTGCGTGCACACACACGCACATACTGTTCAAGAGAACGAAACGCTGATTTGAATGCTGTTCCACGATATTTGTAGATTACCCGAACCAAAGTGCACTGACGAACCCTATGCTCCTCACATCCGATGCTCGAGTGGTAGGCGAAGAAGACGTCGTACGCCTTTCCCCGCGTCGGGTGCCTGATCAGACTCATGACCGCTTGGAAGAGGGGCATCATGATGGCCACGCCTCGTCGACTCTTCATCGCCCACATAAACGCAGGGTTGAAAAGCACCGGGTTTTGGGAGCCCCTGCAAGGCGTTGTGCACACTTTTAGTATACGTCTCTTCTCAACCATTTCTCGAAACATCCCAAAGAAAAAAGTAGCAATAAAGCATCAACGCTCCTTTAGTTCAGGATTGGATTTTGTCAGATTGGGTTGTGATTTGATAAAAGTTTCTTTCGTTTGCCATAGAATAGATACATAATATATCTGTAGACAGAGATGTGTCTCCCCGTTCGGATAAGCTGACCTGAAGTATCGGGCTGCGATGGGCATAAGCAGGGCCAAGGATTTGACATCGATGCTCGGCTCCTCGGCCACCAACTGCACCGCTGGAGTACTTCCTGTGCTGTGGCTGACTAGCATGTCGATCCTGCAAAAAGTGAGGCTCACTCTTAACACGGATGCGCGAAATCAGATTACAAGACCAGGTTCGCATTCGCAACAAGAGAAAAAACAACAACAGGATATTAACGTGAGTCCAGCGTAAACAAAAATCAATCATAATACACGGGGCGTCGCAGCTAGACTTTAGACAGGGTTGAAAAATGCGCCGTCGCACTATGGCGCCGTCTCCGCCGACCATGGGCGGAGATGGCGCAATACGCCCTCCCCACCCATGGTCACCGCACAGCGATCGCCATCGTCACCGTTCTGCCGAAGCCATGTAATATGTTCTTTTTCGCATGGAAAGTTTTTTAACGCTGCAATACGGCGCACAAGCAGGCATGTTACGTGGCAGTTTTGTACTTTGCGTACATGAGTAGCAAGCAAAAAACTAATATACAACATATATTAAGCTAGAAACTGTCTAACTTGATGTATTGCAAACGTATCTTCATGTTTTCTTAGAATTATTGCCTAACTTCGTTGCTGCAGAAGTTAGATAATCATGCCTAATTAGGTGATTGAGTGGGGAGGAAAAATTAGTGGGACATATTACAGTAAGCAACATCCATATGGTCACATCGTTATTGAGTGCGACGGCCTATTTTACAGCCCCAGCTGAAGATAGCTAGGGTAGCATGTATATGGGCATCAGTCGTTCAGTTCAGAGCTACGAATCATCGACAATATCTAGCTGCCTGCTATTGGAAAGAATACGAACATGTCTTCACCCTCGATCATCATAATCATCATTATCATATTCATATCGGCCCGACTTCTCCCACTGCAGGACAAATGCTCTCCCATGTTCCGCCAGTATACTCGGTCCTGTGCTTGCTGTTGCCACTTTACACCCACAAACTTCCTAATCTCATCTGCCAACCTAACTTTCAGTTTCCCCTTCACCCGATTGTCTTTCCTTAAAATAAATCCATCTCGAAAATTTTTCCGCAAGCACACAGGGACACAGAAGAGGACATGTCCCTGTGTGCTTGCGCAAAAATTTCAAGATGGATATGTTCCAACTAGGCCGAATCGCAGTTTTGCTTCTCTTGGAATTCAGTCTGTGATACTTAATGACCAGGGTTACCTTGCCTTCGCGCTCAGTGCCCTGCCCATGACCATTTCTCTTTGATTTCGACTACGATGTCCTTAACACCTGTTTGTTCCCTTATACACTCTGCTCTCTTCTTCAATGTCCCTTAGTGTTACAGCTATTTTTTTTTTCCATTGCTTGCTGCATCATCCTCAACCTAAGTTGAACCCTCGTTGCAATCCTCCTGATTTCTGCTCCGCAGGTAGTACATACCGGTAAGATGCAGCAGTTATATACCTTCCTCTTGAGGGATAGTGTCAATATACCAGTCATGATTTGAGAATGCTTGCTGAATGTTCTCCACCCCATTGTTATTCTTCTAGTAAATTCAATCCCGTGGTTCAGCTCCGCGGCTATTACCTGTCCTAAGTAAACGTAGTCTTTTACAACTTCAAGTGCATTGCTACCTACGTCGAAGTGCTGTTCTCTTCCGAGGTTGTTGTACATTACTTTCGTTTTCTGACGATTAATTGTAAGACCTACCTTTCTGCTATTATTATTCAATTCAGTAATGATGAGTTGCAATTCGTCCCCTGAGTTACTCATCAATACAATGTCACAGGCGCAGTGCAAGTAACTAAGGTACTCTCCATTAACTCTTAGCCCTAACTCTTCCCATTCCAGGCCTCTGAAAACCTCCTGTAAGTACGCGGTAAATAGCATTGGTAAGATAGTATCCTCTTGCCCCACCGCGGTGGTCTCAGGCCCGTGTGATCAGATTCGGGTGCACGTTAAAGAACCCCAGGTGGTCAAAATTTCCCGAGCCCTCCACTACGGCGTTTTTCATAATCATATGGGACGTTAAACCCCACTTATAAGTCAAGATAGTATCCTCTTGTCTTACACTTTTCTTTATCGGTATTCCGACGCTTATTTATGGATCACTATGGTGGCAGTTGATCCTCGGTAGATTTCTTCCAAGATGTTCATGTATGATTCGTCGGCACCCGGACTCTGCCATGTCTGCACGACTGCTAATATCTCTACTGAAATGCTTTTTTGTAATCTATGAACGCTATGTATTGTGGTTGGGTGTATTCCGAGCATTTCTTCATCACCTCATTGATAGTATGATTGTGGTCGATTGTTGAGTAGCCTGTCCGAAATCCTGCTTGTTCCTTTGGTTGAGTGAATTCTAATGTTTTCTTTACTCTGTTAGCAATTACCTTTGTAAATAGCTTGTACACTACAGAGAGCAAGCTGATCGGCCTGTAATTCTTCAAGTCTGTCATCTCCTTTCTTATGTGTTAAGATGATGTTAGCGCTCTTCCAAGACTCTGGTACTCTTCCCGTCAAGAGACACCTCGTAAACAGGGTGGCTAGTTTTTTCTAACACAATCTGTCCTCTATATTTTGGCAGATTTGATCTTATCTTATCCTTACCAACAGCTTTGCCTATTTGCATGCTCTCCAAAGCTTTTCTGACTTCTATCATTACTGGTGGGTTGTCCTCTAGGTTACTGCTAGTTCTTATAGTATTAAGGTCGTGGTTGCCCGGCTACTGTACAGATCTCTGTAAAACTCCTCCGCTATTTTAACTATCCTATCTATATTGGTAGTTATTTTGCCTTCTTTGTCCCTTAGTGCATACATCTGATTTTTGCCTATCCCAAGTTTTCTATTCACTGCTTTGACGCTTCCTCCAGTCCTTAGAGCATGTTCCATTCTCTCCATGTTATAACATCTTACATCGTATACCTTACACTTAATAATCAACTTCGTTAGCTCTTCCAATTCTATTTTGTCTATTGTATTTCAGGCTTTAATGCTTTGACATTTCTTGATGAGGTTATTCGTCTCCTGGGACAGCTTACGTGTGTCCTGTCTAAGTACCATACCTCCAACTTCCACTGCACACTCCGTAATGATACTCGTCAGATTATCATTCATTGCAACAACGCTAAGGTCGTTTTCCTCGATAAGAGCTGAGTATCTGTTCTGAATCGAGATTCTGAATTCCTGTACTTTCATGCTCAGTGCTAGCTCATTGATTGGCTTCTTGCATAGCAGTTTCTGTTGTCCTGTCTTCAAGACTAGGCGAATTTGAAACCTAGTCATTCTGTGGTCGATGCATCGTACCTTGCCAAGCACTTCCACATCCTGCACAATGTGTGGGTGAGTACTTAGTAGAAAGTCTATTTTGTTCTTACTTTTGCATTAAACTCCTCCATATCTACTTACGGTTCACTCGTTTTCGGTATAAGGGATTCAAGATCCGTAAATTAGTGCGTTTTGCGAATTCTACTAATAACTCCACTCTGAAAATGGTTGTACTGATGCCATAAACCCCTACTGTTTGGTCTTCAGCCTGCTCCTTCGCTAACTTAGCATTGAAGTCGCCCATCAGTATAGTCTTCATAGAAGCTTTCAATTAATACGTCATTATGGCTGGACGTAGGTGCATAGGCATGTACTGCCTTCATCTTGCATCACTTATTGAGCTTAATTACGATACCTGCCACCGTTGCATTAATGCTATAGTATTCTTCTATGTTACCAGCTACAATTATGAGGATGAAGAACCCTACCACCCGTTCTCTTTTGTCAGCCTAGCTACGACAGCAAAGGACGCACCTAGTCTATAGCACTGTATAAGGCCTCATCTGTCCTAGCCTCACTGAGCCCTATTACATCCTGTAGTTCCTCGAATAGCACAACTACCGTTAAACGTTGCCAGCTAGCGTTCTAGCATTAAACGTTCTCTAGTTTGAATAGTACAGCTACACTTGCCTCACCACATAAGGTTCTAGCGTCAAACACTGCCATGTTCCGGTTACACTGACGACCTAAAATTCAGACCCAGAGATTCTGAGCACTCTCTGCTTCGTCGCGGATCTGGCCACCGCCATGGTCAGTTGCTTTGCAGCCATTGGGGAGTGAGGGCCGAGGGTTAGTTGGCGTATTCATAAGGGAGGTAATGGCCACATACTGCACAAGGGTGGCCAATCCTCTGTTGAGGGAGTGCGTTACCGGTAGCGGTCACTGGCAAGAAAGTACCCAAAGTCTCTTAATGCAACGCCATCATCACGCGGTAAATGAAAAAAAAAATCCGGCGGGGTATTGCGTGGCACCGCCATTCGAATCATGGACATCCTGCACGCGAGGATGATACTGTAACCACTACGCCATCTCTCCTCCTTATTGATGTCAAGTACTCACTTATTGATGTTAAGTTCCTTGAGAAAATCGATGACTAGTCTGGTCTTCTCATCGCAGCTGTGCCACCAGTAGCCGGTCGCCATGGTTAATGCAAAGCCTGGTGAAAGGAAATACAAAATCCGCATGTAAAACAATTTGAAAGCGTTTCAAAATGAATACATAACTGACTAAAAAAGTTCCCCGATCATTACGGCACTCCGTAAGAATTCAGAGTGGAGCTTCGTGTTGGGGCGTTGCCAACTGTGTTTGATATTGCGACAAACTGGCAGCGCTCGAGTGCTTCGCACGCCACTGTGTGCATTCATAATGCTGACAGCCTCGTTACGACGAGTGAATCCAGCAGCAGTGCCCGGGCCAGGTCTGCATGGACATGAGCTCCGACCAAGGGCGCAATGCGCGTGACGGAGTAATGAAGCGAGGTTAGGTGCCAGTGGTTCGTGATATCGTGAGGCTCCTCAAGGATATCGTGAGGCTAAAAAAGAGGGCAAATACTTCAGGCGCTCCATAAATAGACCCCAAAATAGATCCGGAAATTCCAGCCCGGAACACTTGTGCCCATTTTTCTTACCGACCACTTGAAACAACACTTCTTGGCACTTTTATGCTAAACTATGCTATAGCATGTGTGAAATTGTCCCTTTAGATTTTTTGCACCAATTTCAGCCAGCCCGGTCGGTGAGAAAGCAGAAGGCTCAGCGTTGCGTCTTGTGTACCAGGTCAAAATACATAATAACATAATTGAAAATTTTGTTGAAGCGCACTAAAAAAACGGACGGACAGAAGAGGCTGACAAGGACAGCGCTTGCTCTCACAACTGAAGGTTTTTTTATTCAGAAAAGGTATTTAAAGCAGATACATGGTTTTTCGCGCATGTACATCAGAACATGGTGCAACAGAAATCACTCTTGTCAGGATGACAGAAATTGTACATATTATGTATCATTTGCTATATTTCACAAGTACTAGTTGTCGAGATACGCGTATACTCTTTATCATGCAGCACAATTGTATCTTGGCTAACACAGTCATGTCCCCTCTTTCGGATGTGGTAAGATTCCACTACCTCACGTGTAAGCTGATCCTTGTGTCGAAATAATATTTTTAAGTGTGAATACACTTTATAAGCGACCCCAAACCATCCACCGCCGTCGGCGGCGTCCGCAGTCTTCTCTCTATCTTTAAAAGAAAGAGGACTTGGTGGGCCGCAGCGCGACGCTCTACCGAATAAGCCACGGACGCGACGCTGATATCGGTGTCAGTAACGCGCCTTATAACCCCTCCCCCTTCGCTCGCTGCAGCTGCGCGCGCACCCCTCTCTCTCGCGCGCCCGCCTTCTCTCTCAGTCTCCCGTCGAGAGCGGGTCGTGAGGGGGAGTAAAGTTAAAATCCGTTAGCATTCGCCAGTGAGTTAACGTAAACTCCCCCGTGTGATCAAATTGCGATTCCCAGGAACCATTACACCATAAAGGCACCATAGTGTGATTAATAAATATAATAGTGCGAATTATTAAATACCCCTCATAGCATCACCCCGTGTATTCGCACTTGACTATGCTCACCCTCGGAGAAATTCTTGGAATTTTTGTTTCCTTAAACACAGGATAACATCCGAAGTTTCTACAGTGATCTGCAAGATGACTGTCGCCTGGTGCCTTAACAGATGTGCGATGTTCTCTAAGGCGGTCGTTCAAAGAGGGGACATGACTGTATTAGCCAAGCTACGATTGTGCTGCATGATAAAGAGTACGCGTATCCCGACACCTAGTACATGTAAAATATAAAAAATGATACATAATATTACATAATATGTACATTTTTTGTCATCCTGACAAGAGTGGTTTCTGTTGCACCCTGTTCTGATGCACATGCGCGAAAATCTATGTATCCGCTTTAAATACCTTTTTGAATAAAAAAAAACTTCAGTTGTGAGAGCAAGCGCTGTTTTTGTCAGCCTCTTCTGTCTGTCCGTTTTCCTAGTGCGCTTATACGAAATTTTTAATTATGAACGTAATCCAACTGGCCCAACATGCCATTTTGCTGCAATACATACTACCATTACATCTTCAGCACCAAGAAGTGAGGAGCGCCATAAAAACTTTTCAACTTCATGTTCTGCTGTTACAAGTTTCGAAGCTCGGAGTTATGTTGCATGTATGTTGAGATCTTTTTCTGTTGCTTCAGTCATGTAGTGCTTGGTCACAAAAGTCGTAAGTGCATGCACGGTCATAGTCGCATGACTACAGAAGACCTCTGGTCCCTCATTGCGACTGGTTTCACTTCTAAATTAAAATAACAAGGCTGAAAACTGGTACGTTCATGTATCCATACACTGAACAGTACATATACTCGTTAAATTATACAAGTCATCAGCTTCTTGGCGGATGGTCTACCTTCTAAGACGGAGGCGAACTGTGGTCTGGTACCCACTAAATGCAGTCTACCCGTGAATAAAGCAGCAAAAACGCGCAAAACTTCCGATGAAACTATTCGTAAACAGTATCATACCAGGCCAGTTGAAGCAAAGGACGTCCACGCCGTTCTTGTCAAGGAAAGGGATGTTGTAGCTATAGTCCTGGTACTGTCCCGGCGCACCCGTGAACATCATGGTCAATGGTCGCTCAGTGCGGTCGCCGTGTTCCATGCGGTCCAGCCCCGTGTGAATGTACGTAACGGGCACATGAGCACCCGTCTCTGGTGCCTGCTCGTACCCACGACGACCTTCGGCTCGCCATTTCTGCGCCCCGCAAAGTGGAGATTAAGGCCTTAACTTTCGTGTAAAGAAATGAACAAGCAGAGGGGTCTGAAGCACGAAGCCAGCAAGCCACATGCGGCTCGTGGACCTTTTGTTAATGACCCGGCCAAAGCATCGCTGCTTCCGTCCCATATATATATTTTTTAATAAGTGTGTTCTTGGCCTGAAAAGACATGGCTGCTCTGTAGCATTTTTTTTTCGTGATGTACCACATCTTGTTACCATGTGGCAAAACATAACAGTGCAACGAAAACTATTTCAGAGTTGGTGTCTTCATCTCTAGATTGCAGTCATTCTCGAGAACAGTATCAATATTTTCCTCGAAACATAGCGTCTAACATCCTCCAGAAACGTTAGCTAACATCTTGCTCAAATAAATTCACATCCCCGCATTCCGCCTCGTTCATTTTAACTATTCACTCCAACGACCCACCAAGAGACAAAATTTTGTGACTGCTGCCCGCTAGCTAGGCAGAGTGAGAACCTTGAACTATAGATGGTTCCAAGATTGCAAATGTTGTAATCCCCCCCCCCCCAAAAAAAAAAAAAAACTTCCTGTCATCTGATTTCCAGCTCCAAACTTCGAAACTGGAAGTACCTTGTGGAGTTCTTTTCAAGGGTACGGGAAATCTCTCTTTAGTTTTTCAGATAAAAGAAACGTGCGTAATGCTTAAAGGAGTCTTATCACATTATGTAGCTCAAAAAAACATTTATTTGAATATATTTTGCCAAGTAAGAGAAGAAAAGTGTGGAAAATCAGTGGGCTATTTTTTCAAGCTTATCTTGCCCACCGAGGCTATTAAGGCCCATCTGTGGGCAAAACCGAAAGTCATCAACGGTCAATGTTTGTAAACAGTGAAAGGGTCTATACTCGGCGACAACTTTTCTCGCCACTTGAGCGAAGGCTACTGAGCCAAATCGCGGGCATTCTACCGCCAGTGAATGTAGTTTCACAACATCGCCCGTATTAAATGCGAAGCATTTCTTGGCGAACTTCGGCGACTTTGAACGCAACCACCCACCCAATCACCCACTCACCCACCATTCATCCATCCATCCATCCATCCGCCTACGACTTTTAGCCCTCCTGGCCTTTTGGATAATGGTATCGATACCAAACTTAATATGATGTAACATGACTATATACGAACATAACTGACTAGTCATAACATGAAAATCGTTACATGTATGTCATAAATGTCATGATTTACATGTCATGGTCTTGCTGCTCTTGCGGTGGTTTCATGCACATATGTTGCAAAACTGGTATGGTATGACATGACTGCATGGCGAACACAAGCGACAGACCATAACATCAAAATCATGAAACGTATGTCATGTAACAACATGACTACATGCCACACTCATGTGTGCTCGCGGCCGTTTCGCTAGCTTTGCATATACCGAATTTGGTATTACGGGACGTGAATGGATGACGAAGGTATTTGACTGGTGCAAACATGATAATCATAAGATGCGTGTCATGTAAGAACACGACTACATTTCATGCTCATGATGCGCTCACGACCATTTCGCTAGCTTCTCATGAATCAAATTCAGTATTACGGGACACGAATAGATGATGAAAGTATGTGACTGGTGCAAACATGATAATCATGAGATGCGTGTCATGTAAAAACATGACGACATGCTACGGCTCTTGATGCGCTCGCGGCCGTTTCGCTAGCTTCACATGTACCAAATTCGGTATTACGTGACGCGAACGGATGACATGGGTAAATGACACGTCGAAACATGATGATCATGACATGCGTATCATGTAACAACATGACTACGTCCCACACACATGATGCGGTCGCGGCCGTTTCGCTACCTTCACATATGCCAAAATTCGGTATTACATCACGTGAATGGATGACGAAGGTATGTGAATGGTGCGAACATGGTAATCACGAAATGCGTGTCATGTAAGAACATTAATACACGCCACACTCAAGGCGACAATACACCAGTATAGCAGCCAAGGAACCCGCCATCCATGCGGCACTGCTGGGCATTCACGCCCTAGACTTCTCTCGCTGCCACACACAGAAAAGCAGTCCCAATGTGTGCCCCTACCTGACGGGTTCCCAACGAGTATATAGAAACGAAACAAAAAAAACAGCAGAAGAGAAGTTGAGTCAATTCTTTGTGCTCGGGTTTTAAGCTGGTTCACACCGGTGACTAGCGCCGGTCACGCAACCAAGTTAGTCGCTTTGCAACTGGTCGCAAACCAACTGCTTTCGCAAATCACTTGCTGCCTCATTTTAGATGCAAAGCAGCTCTTTGACTAGGCTGTGTAACGCTGTCCGTCCGTGTCTCCGTGCCAACGCGCCGCACCGCGCTCCCTTCACCGCAGTTGCTGGTCAAGTCAAGTCACAGCTGCGCGTACGTCACTCTCTCTCTCACCCGCTGCAGCTGCTGGCTCCTCTGCCGGCTTTTAACAGCTTTCTCGCTTCACCCTCTCCACCGCCCGCAACACTCGACTGCACGTCGAGTGGAAACACTCTTTCGGCTCGTTTATCTACGATGAAACTTACAGGAAACCCAACCCACCTTCCGTGTCTTTGCGTTAAAAAAAAAAATCTTTTGAAGTAATTTGAAGTAAACGATACACCGAGTTTCGCTTCAAACCGTTCCTCCAGCACGCGCGTCGACGCCCGTTTCAACGGGGTTACTGTAACGGGGTCAACGACGTGCGCGCCGCTGCTGCTTCGCATCCCATCAGGGTTCTCTTAGGGGAGATGGTGGATAATTTTCTTTGAAGGCTTCTGGACTTTCAGCGCTGGCACCATGGCGTAGCGCATAAGCACCACGACCATCTTCTTCACTCGAATCGAACTCCATGAGGCGGCCGGGAACTGTGCGCATGAACAGCCGACGAAAACAATAAATGCGGCGCACCTATAGTTGGCTCTGGATACCGGTGGCCATCAGGTGATCGCTGCCAGCCAGGTGAGCAGAGTTCTCGCTTATATAACGAGATCCCGATGCGACTCTCCGGGTTGGCGACTTCCTGTCGCTCGCATGTAGCCTTTGCCGGTGAGCCCATCAGTGGTTTTTTGGTCGTCAGTCTCACATGGTTGCGCGACCGGTGCTATAGTCTGCGGTGTGAACTTCTATTCGCAGGTATTTATACCTTCAAATCTACCCATGACGAACCAACTCGCACAGAAAGCTGCGCTGTTCAACTCTCATGTCGGCTGTACCGCAGCACTAGCTTAGCTAGAGATCTTCGCAGGAAGCTTGGGAGGGGGACCTATTTCATGTTTGTCTTTGCGTACGCACTACAAATATTCCAAACAGAAATTTCAGAGGAGTGCCGGGAGGGGGACCTATTTCATGTTTGTCTTTGCGTACGCACTACAAATATTCCAAACAGAAATTTCAGAGGAGTGCCGAACCGCTCCAGCTCCTCTCCCTCCCCTTCTTGTGGCCACGCCAGTGTACCATGGTATCCTACCAAAAGGTTTTCTGTGCCGAAACTGCAATATGGTTATGTGGTACGCCATAAAGGGCTACTCCTGAGTGATTTAGACCACGTAGGGTTTTTTAACGTGCGCCAAAACATAAGTGCGAGTACGTACGTATTTCGATGGGGACTAAGGTCCCTATCGAAATGCGCACCAAAGAACCATCTTCCGCCAACTTACCTTGTATAGTTCGCCGCATGTGGTAATCTCGATGCTCCTTTCTTTGTAACTGAGCGGCGGCGCGTCCCGCAGCAGCTGGCGAGCACTCTTCGCTGTGGGCGCTGAAGCGGCAATCGTATGAGCACAGCGCCGGTGAAGGAAGCGAGGACTCCGAGCGCTGGTTTCGGAAATCAAATCTCCAGTTTTCGACAACGCAAAGCTATGACAAGCAATCGAAGAGCCTTGAAAGAACACTGCGGCATGGTGCGTAGTGTAGCGTTGCTGAAGGGGCTGCCGGCGTGGTGCGTGTAAAGCCGATCGCACTAGGTGATACTGTTGAAAGCCTGCGTAATGAATAGGACAAATTACAGCTCCGTAAAACCTAATATCACCCGCGCGAATGCACCTACTCCCATAAAATAAAAATGTAGTATAACAATGATTTTCCCTTGCTTCCAGGCCTCACCGATGGCCGAGTTTTTCTGCTCAACGGGAGCATCGTAAAGGGGGGGGGGGATGTTACTCATAGGGGGCGGTGACCTATATGTGTGTGTCACGTGATTCACACCATGCGACACACATGGCGAAGCTTACGTGGCCACATTTGACATACGAGCATCTGTTCACACGTGGTATGTTGATATTAATTGATACAATTTACTATCAGAGCAAACTTTGTGACGTGCATACATAGAAACATGCCAGACTTGCATCATGGCTCACCAAGACACACGAATGTGGATAGGCAAACGGAGCATTTTATTAGTACTTTGAACATTAGGAACAAGTCTTTATACGTGGGGCTTTTCTTTTTAGCTGACATATGAGAAAGAGTACGAAGTGCATTTATTGTTGAATAGTATATCTGTCATATGACTGTCTAACGTTCTGAGTGGGGTGCAATTGCTTGTCAAAGTAACATTTACCATGTTACATAAGTGGTACAGAAAGGACACCTTCCTATATGAGTATGCACGCCTTGCTGATGAGCACATGAAAAGAAATAGCCGTCGAGAGAAAAAAAAATAATCGAAGACCTTTTCGAATGCTATTAGAAGTATACGCCACATGATGTGGTGCTGCGTTTGCACAACCTTAAATCGCATGTCTGAAAAAAAGGTGTACGGCACTTTCTTTCTTCACGCAATGACATTGTCCTAATAGAGAAAGACATTAGTGGTGAAATATAATGCCAATATCCCTTGACGTTGTGGTTATCCACGCTTGATGAGTTAATTGCTGCGATTCCACGAAGACTGTAGCTCGACGCAAAAAAAAAAATGGAAAAGCTCACCCGGTTTCAGCATCTTGCCTTTGTGTTCCACGCGTAGATCTTGTGGAGAATAGGCGTCATTCAATGGTTGCGCCTATACGATGTCTTCGGTGCTGCAGATAAGCGCACGCCGCGCACGAAGTTTAGAACTGAAAAATATAGGTAAAAATATTACTCGATTCATGCATTCCCGTAACAAAGATTAAAAACCTTCTAAAGGACAGCTAAGCTCGTGAATCAATGACAGAAGTATTTAAGAGCACAATTTCTATAAAAACAGGATTTCTGCAAGTACGAAAATCGCAGATATCAGAACATTGGTCGAGAACTTTGCATGCACTACGCTCAGTTTTCAGAATAAGTACAGCAGCTCCCCTCCTTCCACCCCTCTTCTGTATACCAGCGTTTTGTATCTTAGTGGTATTTGTATATGGAAATAAATTGAAACTGTCCGTCGCGGGAGAGTGGGCGTTAGAGTGCTCGGCTGCTTACCACTGGCGGCCTCGTTTCGATGAGACGATGATATGTGGGGTTTAACGTCCCAAAACCACTATACGATTACGAGAGACGCCGTAGTGGAGGGCTCCGGAAATTTCGACCACCTGGGGTTCTTTACCGTGCACCCAAATCTGAGCACACGGTCCTACAACATTTCCGCCTCCATCGGAAATGCAGCCGCGGCAGCCGGGATTCGAGCCCACGACCTGCGGGTCGGCAGCCGAGTACCTTAGCCACTGGACCACCGCGGCGGGTCTGCGTGAACGTGGTGGTGGCTTTCGACGTAGCTGGCGCGGCTCCATTACATGTACTGTTGCTGGCGTCGGTACGACGCGTGATACGTCTGCAGAAGCTGCAGGATGGTGGTGGTGATGGTGGTAAAATATATTTCTTGTACATCTAAGTGGCAGTCCCTAGTCCGGGACGCCATTGAAGATCGCCGCTGCCCGGGCGCGCGCCACCAAGGAGCGTTGCGCATCCAAGGTAGTCACAGGAGTGTTGTCAGTCGGGACAGCCCCGGCGGCAACGTGGCTGGGCGGAATGCTTGCGTGACCGGCTGGCTGCATTGATTCCGCTCGGGTTTGGTCGAACTTTTTCCGGCGATTGGAAATCACAATGGTTTACAGTTCACGTCGGCGTCACTCGCCGGCCCCGAGCATGCTAACGATGTGGGTTGGAGTGCGGCATATATTAGTGGGACATTTATGTCCCACTGACTTGTGAGAAAGTTCTGAAAAAAAAGTGGGAAAACACTGTCCCACTGCCTCATTAAGGCTACCATGATTGCTTGAACGGTTATTTGGGATGAAAAAAAAAAAAAAACAAGCGAGTGGCGCGAGGTATCACTTCTCAAGTTGTGAAGAGGAAACTTGTGTGGACTTCATTTTAGTAGGAGAACAACACCTGCATTGCAGCCTCTTGCGAGCTTTCATTGCATTCTGCCCCGGCTCTCTAAAGCTTACTTCACCGCAAGCACCTGCCATTCTTTTTTGCTTAATTGACTGTCCTTACTTTTGTTGTGGAAACTGTCAAGCACAGCTGTTGTTCCTGAATATGTGCCTACCTTTTAAAAGGTATATTATGTAAGAAAAGTGTTTGGCAAGCACTAATACCTGAAATTGCACTCAGGGATGTGCGGGGTTAATTTCTCAGAGGATCGTTCGGATGCATTTATCGGTCCAAGTTATATGCAAATTTATAAAAACACGTGATTACTGGAAGCTATAATGACCTCTCCAAAAAGAAATAAAAATCGCAACTATCTGGCATTCTGATGGCTAGTTTCTTTCCGAAGAAAAGAAAAATTCAGTGGCTATCGAAAATTTGACCGAACTTAAGCTGCATTGAAAATTACTTCTGCCTTTCAAAAGCATGGAAGAAAACTTCCTGGAGACTACGAAGAATTAAGCGCTGCGCTAAAGTGCGACGGGTGACGTGGCAGACATTTTTTTTTTTTTTCTGCAGACCGAAAAGTGGGACGTATGTGTCTGTGGCACAAGGGGTTAACCTGGGCGTCGTTGGCGCTGACAGCAGGTTGCACACATAGGGTAGTAATCGTGCCGGTGGTTAAAGTGGCGCCAGCGTCATATTATTGTAGAAGGGGCCACGTCGCCAGGCGCAGTGGCCCGTACACGTATAGGTGAGCTAGGTCAGCCCTTAGGTTTAGCGGTTGAACGGGTGCATAAGTTCTTCCGACGCCAATAAAGAAGGAATAAGATGTCCCACCGGCTCGGGAAGGGTGTCCGGATGTTCCCCACAGTGAATACTTGATGACCCGACACAGCGCAAGTGACGATATCGGTGTAATCCGGTCAACGAGAGCACACGTTCGGCGGAGCGCCAGCGACGAACGTCGGCTCGTTCCGGACGCTGGCGTCCAAATCGTGCGCACGACCTCGCACTGAAGGTTTCGAAGTTTTGTCAAGATAGTGTTACCGAGTACTACAGCGAAATATTTTATTCGCACGACTCAGGTTCATCCCTTCATATTCTGCTGTGCAGTGTCTATGCCCATTTCGCATTTCCGACAGTGCAACGTCGTCTGATCGCCATTGGAGTCACCAAGAAAAGTCGCGCGCCAGAAATTGCACGATTATTGAAAAATAGATGTGGCGCATGCGTTCTTGTTTTTTTTTTTTCACACCTGTTTGGAGCTGGGTTTATTTGGCGCCGGAAGTTACTAACAGTTTTTGCGCTTCGTTCATCAATTGGTTTAAGGCAACATCCGTCCGCCGTGGAAGTGTAGACCAGAAAGCAGGGCATTGATCCCTATTTGCGGAATACGCAGCACACAAACAAACACAGGCTGAGAAAACAGACCCGGAAAAATGTGTTTTCGTTGATGTGTTCTGCTTAGCGGTGACCAACAAGAACGCCCAAATCGTACCCCTTTTGAAAGGCAGAGATCAAGCAAGTTCCCCGAATGTCTGCTATATGTGACATACACATAAGCGAATGTATCCGCTGCTCCACCCCACAAATGAAATGAGTGCATTGGTTTCCCGGAGCAAAAGCTTTGTCCGAAGCCACAGCGTAGTGAAGTTACCCTGCTTGCGATCAGGTACCGAGTTCAAGTCCCTGATGCGGTGCTGTATGAAATAGTTAAACTTTCGTGATCATACAACGTAACTCTTTTTAAGATGGTCCTTACCCGACCTCAAGGAGGCTCGACCCAGATGGGGAGGGGAGTACGGACCTTCAGCTATCAAGCACACATGCACAAGAACGTTTTCTCGGTACTTATATATACCAGTACAAGACTGGTTCGACCTGTTCGAGCGCCACGCTACCGCTGCATCTTGGTCGGAAAGGGAGATGGTTACGAACTTCAGCGACGACGTCACCGGTGAGGCATTTAAATTTTACCTCACCCGCATATTCGAGAACGACGAGTCTTGGCAAAAGATAAAAGAAGAAATGATCATCTGGTTTCAAGACTATAATGAAGATTCGATGAGAACACGCACTCTCAGTGCATTCGAACTCAGTGATAGCAGTCACAAGCAGCCTTCACGCATTCGAGCACAGAGCATGACTTTACAATTCCCGTGAGGTGAAGTTAGTCACATGATCACGGAGAGATCACGCTGTCGTTTTCCCAACCTTCCACCAAGTTCCTCATCTGCGCAGATATCGCCAATGCTGAACTCTTCGCTGTATAAAAGAATTGAATTCACTGACCCAGATGCATTTAATACTTCGTGCCGCATGCGTACTTTGCTAACTGACTTGGCATCACCTGTCATCAATATTACTGATAAACCTGATGAAGCACCTCATGGGATCATCGCATTTACGCATGACGAGTTAGTAAATCCACATGAAACCAAACCAGACAACGAATGTTCACAGAAATGGCATTCATACAAAGTATTCAGCTCAGCAGTTCCACAAAGACAGATGCATTTACAACCACCCTCTTGTGAAGAAAACTACTGCAGAAGCACGTAGTGTTCATCAATCACAAGATCGAAGCGACTTGAATCCAGTATACAACCTCACTGCCAACAATGAAAACAAAAGCGCAGGTGCGACGTCTGACGACAAAAAAACTTCACGAAACCACCAACAATGAATGGTCTATAAATACAGAAGATTCAAGCGCACAAAAACACCCACATTGTCTTGCGCCGGAAACAGCTCCATCGGTTCACGTCGTAGAAGCCTGCGGAGGACTTGCTAAGTATGCTGCAACACCACGATCAATGGCACACCACAAGCAAGTCGACGAAACCAAGAAACTACAACGTCAACGTTTACTTCAACATTGTCAACAACGAAAGAAAACTTCATCGAAACCACTCTTAAGGCTCAAAGAACATTGAGAAAAGGCCCATCGTCGTGGATACATTCTCCACCAGAGATTAAAAATGCGCCTTCGATCAAAACATCTGCGGCATCGCGATAGAAAAATCTCCAAAGGCCACAAAAACACCCCTTGTACTCGGCAGGAACACAGGCAGCACCCAGTCAACCTCGATCAACGCGCACGCAAGTTGCCTGCATGGCCTGTGTATCACCCACGACGAGGAATTCGATGCCTACAATATCGGAACTGTCGATTCTGCAACATGTTCGAACCTCGTTCATTCTTTACAAGAATGCCAGCTATGATTACCCCTATCTCCACGTCCAAAGCATTTTTGTGTTATCCAGGACGCAACCACCAGCCTCGCCCACCAGAACTCCTGCGTTAACCGGACTGCTGCACTCCCCCCGAAGTCTTTGAAAGTTTACGGAACTCCCCTGGAGCATATAACCAATTGTGAATTTTGACATTTGTGACTTTTTAACCTCTCCTTGTTTACTTTTTCGTGTTCGTAATCTATGCCTTCTTTTGGGGGGAGGGGGAATCCTGTAACGTAAGGAGGTAGCTATGGTTAGGAGTTAGAAGTAGAAGCCGAGAAGGAAGAAGTGAGAATGGAATAAACATGGTGTACGAGCCAGGCCACGTCTCCCATTCATCATAGCGTCACATATATACCCACCTGTACATTGATTGATTGATTGATTGATTGATTGATTGATTGAGTTATATGTAGGGTTTAACATCCGAAACCCATTATATGATTACGAGAGACGTCGTAGTGGAGAGCTCCGGAAATTTTGACCCCCGGGGCTTCTTTAACGCGCGCCTAAATCTGAGCACACG